TAACCATGATAACATGGTGCTTTGTCAGGGTTAGGTCAGCACCGTGTATGTGATGGAGGTGCTGAGAGATGTGAGCTGGGTGGTTTCCTGACACCTGCATGGCATTAGCTCTTGGAGTAAACCTTTACCAGTTGTGACTCATGAGTTATGGTCTTACCAGCATGGGTGGTGTGCCAATCCTATTGTGTTTATGCAGCTCCATGCTCTAAAGCCAGCCCAGACCCCGTGTGTTCAGGTGAGATTCACCATCACACTGTGGGGGCATGTCCTCAGCTCCCAAGTGGCTCTGTCTGAGCTGAAGGCCTTTCTGTGAAGGTGGTGTGTGTCCCTGAGCTCAGAGCTGTGCCAGCTAAAGGCACAGAGAGGCTGCTCTGGGCATCCCAACCCAGCACGGGTGGGCTCAGTCACCCGAGTCAGGATAACTCTGTATCTTTCATCACACTGGGTTGTGTTTCATGTGATCATCCCTGAGAGAAATTATGAAATACTTAGCACATCCTGCCACTGACCATTGATAAAGAGGCAGCAGCAAATACTGTTTTTTGAAAGAGCTCTGTATGTAGGGAAGGAAAGGGCAGTCATGTGGTGTATTCACAGGATCATCATCAGATCTGGGTTTGATGCTTGTGAACCTCTCTTTGAACATGTTCTTCTGCCTCCCGGGTGTTTAATTTCCCTTCTATAACGGATAGCTCTTTGTTGACAGGAATGTTGTGAAGAAATTTGTTACAAGGCTGATGTTACTAACATGTAAATGTCTTCTGCTGTGGCCTGTGTTTAAGTGTGTGGTCTGTTGCTTGTAGGGTGAAGAACAATCAAAAATGCTGGAGGTATTTCTGCAGCTAAGTTATACTACATGACAAAGGGGGTGGCTAAACATTCTAGTTTGGGTTGTAGCTGTAGGACAGCGCAGGGCTGGCAGAACCTCAGAGCTCTTGGAAGTGGGAGCCACAGCATTGTTTGACGTGCACTTCCAAATCTGTTATGTAGCGGCGTTACCTCGTTCACAGTCATCTTCATACGTGTTGTCCTAGGGCAGCAGGGAATTTCATAGTCCTCTTTGATCTGTGATGTATAAAAATGGGCACAATCTTCATGTTTCAGGTAAACCCATTGTAACAGAAGCATAAGTAAGTGCAAGAGGGACTTGAGGGAACATGGAGACAGGAATATCCCTTGTGTTTTATTATATTTCCAGCAGCTTTGCTGACATATGTTCTGTGCCCTAGCAAAAACCATGTCTAAGTTATATTCTATTTCTTCTTGCTTTAATCTCCATGGGAATGATTTTTTTAGCTGAAGGTAAAACACACCTCAGAGCTCCAGCAGCTTATGTGAAGTAGAACCTGTGGGTATTGTCAGTGTTCAGAATTTCACCAGGGCAATGTGTGGAAGAAAAATATTGTGAATGATTTTAACTAATGGATTTTGAGTTTCTTTATTTTGTCATGCTCAAAAAGGATTTTTAGAAGTGAGCTGTTAATTCTGTCAAATAGGAAATGCCCTAAAGGATTGCTGCATCATGATATGGATCAGACAACTCAAGAGAAAAAGCAGTAGGGTTTTTTAAGGGCATGTGATTTAAAGGAGAAGAAAGAAAAAAAGAATTTATTATGCCTTTGGAAACATCTTTTCTTTCTCAAGTGAGATTTGGGCTAAAACATTTCTCTAAGTCGTATGTTTAACCTGCCTGTTTTAAAGCATATATGCATATTTGCGTTGAAAATTCAGGACTGAATGACAACTATGATTTTGCTTTGGATCAGTATTTTGTGGGAGCATTGAAACACAGGCAAAATCAAGACTGTTTCAGTAATGATTTTTACTTGTGAGTAAGGAAGATTTTTCAACTCTGCCACTTATTCTGTGTTAATGGTTTCAGTAGCTCAATATTGAGTGTAGTTTTAATCGTCTGAAATGCAAAACTAGCATTTCTAATTTTTGCACTAACTTTTAAACTGGACAGAAAAGTGAGTCACACCCAACTGCAAAGCTGGTATGCAAAGCCTGTCCTTTTAGCAAAAATTAAAAAAAATTGCCACAAAATCCAAGAACATTTAAACACAAAAACATAGAAGGTTCCTTATGTTCTTCATAAGGAAGAACTTTTTCGTAACTGAAAGCTGTCATCAAAAATTAGTATATCTTTGCATATCTTAGAAAAGTGAAATAAACAAAATCATTAACTTGTTTAATTTTTTTATAAATGTAGTTAGTTTCTGAATCCTAAAGAGTGTTTAAATGCATAGAATATTTGAGCACTAAAAAGACAATTTTACCTGGAAGAACATAAATACATGATGTCTCAAATTATAATAAAAAAGAGAAGAATAGTTTAATAGCTCATATAATATTGGCATTATAAATAAAGTCATAGGAAAATTCCTCTCAGTCTTTGAAAGAGAACTAGCTTAATTTCAGTCTGAAAAAAGTTTTTTTCAGACAAAGGAAAATGGAAATTTCTAGTAGTATTCATATGGAGTTTGATTGCAATATTAATGAAGAAAGAGGTATCAGCTTTTGATAATAATATGAAGATTAAGTTAACAGCTCTATTTTATAAAAGCAGCCTAATATTAAATAATAGGTAATGTTGAGTAGTCTGTTTAGTATTCAGGAAAAATAACATCTTCCTTCCCTAAGTGCAAGAACAATTACCTGCTGATTGTAGGATCATCTGACTCTTTCTGCCTTCCTTTATAGCAATTATGGACAACATAGGGACAAAAGTATTAAATACTTAGGGGAAACAGGGCTCATCTTAGCTTGGAATGCCTTCTTTTCTTTTCATTATTTGCCTTTGTATTTTAGGACCTCAGTTTTCCCCATTGCTTTTGCTCAGTGTTTGTATCTCAGCACCATAACATGCCTACCCTGTTTCTGATGACTTTCAAGTGTGACTCACTGACTTACGGTCTAAGTTTTGTGATTTGCTGAGATTTGCAATGACTGATGGCAACTGCACTGAGGGCCTTGTGTTCTCAACCCTTCTGATTATATTGGTCATGCGAGAACAACTTTACAGTGCATCTCCATTGCAACTGCTGTGGTGAATTCAGATTGTGCAAAATGCTCCGCCAGGCTTTAGCCCACCTGTGTTAATTATTGATTGATGCAAAGGCCTGGCAGCACAGAATCCTCCCAAGCTGGACAGAATCCAGTAGAGGATCACAAGGATCATTAACTTGTGATCCTCTACTTGGGATTGGTTGGAGCCTCTTTGCTCTGACAGGTTGAGAGAGCTGGGACTGTTCAGCCTGGAGAAGAGAAGGCTCAAGGGCAGTAATGTCATCAATGTACAAAAGAACCTGAAGGGCGGGGGCAAAGAAGAGCTAGGCTATCTTCATTCATGCCCAGTGAGAAGGCCAAAGATAATACCTACCAAATGAAACATATGAGATTCCCCCTAATATCAGGAAACCCTTCTTCACTATCAGATTGACCAAACACTAACACAGGTTTCCCAAAAAGGCTGCGGAGGCTCTGTCCTAGAAGATACACAAAAAACTGTCTGGACATTGTCCTGCACAAGTGGCTGTATCTGTCCCTGTTTGAGTGGGATGGGAGTGGACCAGATGACCTCCAGAGGTTTCTTTCAACCTCAGCCATTTTGTGATTCTGTGATTTGCCATCTTTTTACACCACTGTGGGCGCAACACTTGCTCCATCTCATACAGCAAGACAATAAAGGTGTTTCATCCTGGGACATTGCAGTGTTGTACAGAGACACCTGGGATGGCTCAGGAATAGCACAGTGCACTCAACTGGGTTTACCAGTCCCCATCTCCTTGTATCCATAGTAGTTCAGCTGAACGCTTGCTTCTGAATCTACTCTCTAGTGTTATACATCCCAGGAAATTGCTTTGTTTAGTTGCAGTCCTGTGGCAGCTTGCTGTGTAGGTCCTAATAAACCTTCTGACACTGGAAATGCTCATGAGAGGATCTTTTGGTTTTCTTTAGTAGCCAGACCCAGCATGGTTAGAACTCATCAACACCATCAAATCCAGACTGATTTCTTCTGTTGATTGGGATGGCTCTTTCTGAGTGCTTTAGTCCTTGGAGGGCTTTGGAGGTCACAATGGCATGGGACTGGGCTGTAGCAATGCTCATGAGCCACACTCATGCAGTACTGGCCAGTGGAGTAAGGGCACCTGCTGGTTGTACAGGAGTCAGCATAGAACTGGCAGGGCCAACACAGGCATAATGAAATAGGTATTTTGTAAACCTTCCCTCAGTCCCTGTTCTATATTATTCATGTTTCTTTCCACTATTGAGTGTATCATGGCCTTCAATTCCCTGAAAATAGCTGTATCAGAAAGGTGTTCTGTCTTGAGGGAATAAGAGTGTCTGTATTTTGCAATTTGGCATTTCAGATTACTTATGTTTCTCCCTGAGCACTAAGCATGATTATTAATGGTGCTGTGAAACTGAAAGTTTCCAAAATTGCTCTTGTTTTTATGTGGGGTACCTCAGTTTTACTCCTGGCAGGAGTTTTCACCTGAGGCTTTATGCTGTATGATGCCAGAAAATTGAATTGTGAATATAAAATTCCTTGAGCAAAAATGAAAATTGTGATTTTATTGGTGTGAGGTTACGTATGAGGAAAGCTGGATGCTATAAAAGGATAAATTTCTTCCTCAGCTACTTTTTTAAAAAGTACCTCGTGATTTACCAACAACTTCCAATACAGAGCAAATTTGGTATGTTTGCGATTTTCCATTAGGATAAAGTAAAATTCTGATTTATCTAGCTGAAGTAGAGCAAGAGGCATCTCGGTACTGGGACTAGCACATTCATCAGGGCCAAGCCATATAATTGTTCTATGCTCTATTCAAATAGTCTATTGGAAAGGAGAATGGCATATGTGCTTTATTTTTTAAAGAGTGTGAGTGGGTTTTTCTCTTTTCATTATGGGCTTGTCTGTGTTCTACATAGACTTTGAAACCAGATCATTACTATGCATTTAAGAATATGTAACTTCCTATTACATTTGATTGCAGGTGTATTATATCTTCAGTATGGAGATGAAACAAAGCAGTTGAGGATGCCGAATGAAATCACAAGCACAGACACAATTCGTGCCCTTTTTGTAAGTGCCTTCCCCCAGCAGCTGACAATGAAAATGCTGGAATCGCCCAGCGTTGCCATTTACATCAAGGATGAGAGCAGAAACATATACTATGAACTGTGTGATGTGAGGTAAGACATAGAATTGTAACTACTGCTTTCATGGGCTTGGGAGTTTTTTGTGGTTTTTGTTTTGTTGTGCACTTATGGAATAGAAAGTAATGGGGTTGATAATTATCTGACAGAGAGTGGCCTGACAAATAAAGGCATGTTCAGTGGTATCTCAGTAATCCAGGAGTTCTGGTCTGCCAGTACCTTTAGCTGTAGGTGCAATATTCATTGCACAAGCCACTGATAAATGGCGTGCCTTGTTGAAATATTTGTATAATATACAAAGGTTCATATATTTAATATGTTTATTGAATTTTAACAGAGACACAATAATTTAAAATACATAATACAGAATAAAATTTTATGAAAGAGATGGGTTGTTTCTTTGCTGGGAGTGTAAAGCCTGATCTCATGAGCCTGAAGTAACAAGCATGAATGTCACTGATGTCCTTATGATGGTGCCAGTTGAGCCACCAAAGCTCTGTGGCACTGGGGACCACTGCTGCACCTTCCTGATATATATCAGGATGCAGCAACTAATGCAGTCACTTCAGTAATTCAGAGTTTGGTCAATAAATAGTTCACCTTTCTATCCTTTATTTTGTGGGAGTGCAGCTTCTTAATTAACCAGGTTTCTTCAGCAGAAGTTCCAGGGTCTCAGGGTCCCTAGAAAGTCCCAAATGATGCCTAAATAAAGCTCTCATGTACACCAGAGACATGTTGCACTTTATAAAAATGGACAGAGGAGCATAAGAAGATAAAGGAGAAAGAAGAAGAACTGTTTGCTCTCTGCTAGTCTGCCACTAATGCAGGAAAATGTTGTGGTGCAAGAGAAGTGTACTGTCCACTGCTGCCTTGTTTCTTCTGGAGATCCTATGGTTAAGGTGTTCCTCCTTATCATGCTGTAGTTAAAAAAGCAAGTTGCAGCTTTTCTAGCCCTTCCCCATCCAATTTCCCCATTCCTTTTTTAAATCTTTGAACAGCCCCATACTCCATTTTCTCACCTCTGTGTTGCTTTCCTCAGGCTGTCTGTCCAGTGTCTTCTCATTAGCTAGTCTCTTGGATTTCAGTTTCTTTTAATCTTATTTGCTTTGCAGAGTGCCACACCCCTGTTTGACCACTGTAATGCCTGTGTGAAGATCCAGCTGATTTTTTCCATCAAATATCATCATCTTTCAACATGAACCCAAGTTTCTTATACATCAAACAGTTTATTCACAAGATCAGATCAACTCATTGAATCATGATAGGGGTTACTACATCTCTGTTGCCAAGTGCATTATTGCCAACCATCATCTAACCCATTGGCTCTTTCTCTCTCCCTTTATCCCTCCATCTTCCCTTAAGTTTCAGACTAACAGTTTATGACTTCATGCCCTTGAGAAAGCAGTTGTTGCTTATCCTAATGCCACTCCACCTTTTTTTCCCTTGCTCCCATTGCAGGCATCACTCTGCCAGCCTCAGGCCTGGCTTAACCCCAACATCTGCTTCCTCTGTTCCTATGCCTGTATTGTTGAGCATTTCTAGAGGAAATCCCACAACCAGCTGACTTCCTTCATAACAAAAGTCCCTCCTTCAGTTCTGCCAGCCTTCTCACTTAGGAAACCTCAGCAATTCCAGGTTAATGGAGTCTGTAACATGCATTTTCACCACCTTTGAATAACTTCCACAACCATTTCTCCATTTCTGTTCCTGACTCTTCACAACATCTTGTTTCAGTGTCTCCCCTCAGAGAACAGATTAAATGAAGCATCCTTTTTCTCTCCTTTGTTTGTCTTGTCTTCCTTCAATCCTCTGCTTTCTTTATTTTAAACTGAGGGCTTTCAGTCAGGCCTTTAAGCTCTCCATCTCCCTCCAAGGCTGCTTCATGTTCTTCTGTGCCTTGCATTAGGCCATCACACTCCTTACCCTCTTTTCCTTTCCTTTCCTTTCCTTTCCTTTCCTTTC